TACAGCTTTGGAAACCCAATGGGGGGCAGTCACTATGAGTTGAAATTGACTCCATGGCAGTGTGTTTTGTTTTTGGTTTGTGAAGGTTTAAGAGTTAAGTTTCAACAGCATTAGGGGGACATTTTCTTTTTTATTTTATTGTGATTTGGGTGGAAATTTACAGAGCAAATTCACTGTCCATACAGCAGTTCACATACACTTTGTCTCATGACACTGTGCGGTGTAGTAAATTACTTAGTATGACTTTTCTACCCATAAGTCTTTGTAAACTCCAAGGTGGGATTTGCTATGAGCAACTGAGGAGCTCCTGATTGTAAATGTTATCCACCTGGGTTATTTCTGTGGGGAGTGGCACAACGCAATGTTATGGGAGGCTCACTCTCAGGTGCTTAGAATTCTGTTGTTATGATTGGTTGGTTTGGCCACTCCGCCAAGCTCAAAAGGAGGCCTCCTAGAGGCAGAACTCTCTCTGACTGCTGGTTGAGGAGGACGTGCTGCTGAAAGAGACACCCGCTACTGAAAGAGACACGTGCTGCTGGGAAAGAGACGCAAGAGACACGCGTTGCTGAGTAAGACACCAAGGGACATGCACTGCTGGGGGATAGACTGTGAGAGACTTGGCTGAGAGACAGTGGGCTGGGAGAGAGACTGAGTGCTTTTCCTGAACTTGAATTGTAGCTTGGTGCCTCCCTAATAAATCCCATAATCTGTGAGTTCTGTGTGGCCACTGCAGTGAATTATCGAACACAGGAGAGAGGTGGTGGGTGCTTTGGGAGGACGGTTGGAGAAAGGGCTGGAGGGAGGCAGCATGTCTGGCCTGGCAAGAATAAGCCTTGGGCTATTGATGGTGCTTCTGTCTTCCTCTTGTGGGATTATAGGAGGTCAGGACATGTGGCCTCCTTGTCCTTTTTGCACATTGACTACAATTTATCCCAATGCAACAACTACCCTCCCACTTCCTCCTGATAGTTACCTCTTCCCTGTGTCCATGTACTCCTGTCCCCTGAGCTGCCTCCCTGTGCATAAACAGCCCTTCTTTCTCCCATGATTGTTCTCTCCAAGGAGTGTATCTAACTCAAGTAAATGTTCAACTCATATGTCTGTCTCTTGTTTGGCTGGAAGCCACAGGTGTGGGTTCAATTCCAGACCTGAAGGGCAGTTAGGGGCCATTGTCTCAGGGGTTCCACCAGGCTCTATCAGACCAGCCTGTCCCCCCCCCCCGCAATGATTTTGAGTTTTGTTCTACATTGTTCTCCCTCTCTATCCAGGATTTCCTCCATAGATCCCCCTCTAAGTGTTTGACAGTGGTAGCTGGGCACCATCTTGTCCTTCTGGTCTCATAGTTGTATAGTCTGTAGATCGCACGGTGTACCAGTCGCTAGGACTAATTATTTCCATGAATCTTTGGTTTTCTTCTTTCTTCTTTGCTCTAGATGAGGAGAGACCCATTGTTGCATCTAGATGGCAGCTTGTAAGCTTTTAAGATGCTAGTCGCTACTTGCCAAAGTAAGAGATGAAAAAATGTTTTGTGTAGTATGTTATGCCAGTTGAGCTTGATGTCCCCTGTGACTATGGTGAGGGGGACATTTTCTTTAACAAGATATTCAGAGGTCAGAGACAGAACCTAGCAGGGAAGTAGGAAGGAAAGGAGCAGGGTCTGACGTTCTAGGATCCAAGCAGAGTTTCAAGGGAGAGAAATGACTTATGAGCTCAAATGGCACACATCAGGGGACTGAGGAATGGCCACTGGATTGAGAACGTGGAGGTCACTGGGGACCTCGACGTGGGGGCAAAAACTGAAACTGTGCTTACTGCACACATAGTGGACAGAAACATTTCTTGATATTATCACTCAGTGAAAGAGCGATACCAATAGTCTTCCATTAGTTTCCTGTTCTGGTCTTACGCTCTCCAATCCAAGGATACTGCAACCAGGGTGGTCTTTATAGAACGCAGATCCAGTCATTCCTCACTTATATCTTCAATTAAATCAGACTGGGATGAATATGTGGAAACAGGCATCTATAAGGAAGTTCTTTGTCGTGTTGCAAATAAAGGGGAAAAATCTGAAACAATCTGAATGTTCCATAAGAAATCAGTTATGGCAGCGAAGGTGTATCTAAACAATGGAACAACATGTAGCAATTAAAATGTTAGAGGATATTTAATAACAAGCGTTCAGTTATGCAGCTGAGTGAACAAGCTGATCACAGAACAGCATCCACACTGATCGATGTGTGTGTAAAACAGATCCAAGTGCAACGGGCCAAACTAGGGGTTGGTAAATTAGTTGGTAAAGGGCTAGGTAACTCACTGCCATCAAGTTGGATCCGGCTCATAGCCACCCTTCCTTGGGTTTCCAAGGCAGTATCTTTTTTTTTTTTTTTTTAATTTTA